TCAGTACAAAAGATGTTGTTGCTTAGCTTGAATAAGATCTTTAAACTGTGAAGTGGTCTTTGACAAAGCAAAACACAGACATAGGACAGTTTCACAGCTCATGTGAAATCTCTCTTCTGGGCTACTGAAACCCAGAAGACAGTCGTAAGAACTGTTCCTGAGGTAGGGTCTAGAGAGGAGTATTGTCCTTAATTGAGGTTTAGGTATGCCTGAGGTGACCTTGTGGATGGTTACTCCAAGCTAGTGTGTTCCCTTCCAGTGCATTCTCTTCTTGTAAGCACACTCTATGGAACCTAACTTTAAATAGCAGTCCCCTGGAGAGCACAGAATCATAACAAGGGCCCTTAACAACACAGGGCACTGACAAAGTAGCTCTATTCACATAGGATTCCAGTGGTTCCCTTTTTGGAACTAAGTCAGCATTCTGTCCCTACTCCTGAGCAGCCCCAGCACCCAATGACAGGTCCTTAAGCTATGTTAGTACCTTCAGGCAATACCTGGAAAGCCCTGCAAGCTCAGGAACTGCTCTATTTCTTCAGGATATCTGCTCTCAAATTTGAGTGTATATTAGAAGCAACAGAGACACATAAAAAAATCTATTGTTGAGCTGGGTGCAGTGGCGCATGCCTTTAATCTCCGTGCTTTGTGAGCCTGAGGCAGGAGGATTGCAAGTTCAAAGCCAGCCTCAGCAATTTAGTGAGCCCTAAGCAATTCAGCTGAGGCAGGAGGATCACAAGTTCATGGCCAGTCTCAAAATAAAACTTTTAGAAAGAACTGAGAAAAATGGGTTGGGGTTGTGGCTCAGTGGTAGAGCACTTGCCTAGCATGTGTGAGGCACTGGTTTCAATTCTCAGCACCACATATAAATAAATAAATAAATAAATATCTATAAACAATTAATATGTGTGTGTGTGTATAAAGATCTGAGAGCTGGGCATGGTTGTGCACACCTGTAATCCCAACAGCTTGGGAGGCTGGCAAGGCACTAAGCAACTCAGTGAGACCCTGTCTCTAAATAAAATACAAACTAGGGCTGAGGATGTGGTTCAGTGGTCGAGTGCCTCTGAGTTCAATCTCTGGTTTAAAAAAAAAAAAAAGATCTGAGAAAAAATTAAAAAGGCCTGGGGATGTAGTTTAGTGGTAGAGTGCCCTGGGTTCAGTCCCCAGTGGTAGGGGGTGGGGGCTTTCGGCCCTCCCTCCCACCAATGGCTGTGTTTTAATCAGTCTTGTCTGTGTGATGAAGCCTCCATAAATACTCAAAAGGATGGGGTTCAGAGAGCTGCCAGGTTGGGGAACACATGGAGGTGATGGGAATGTGGCATGCCCAGGGAGGACATGGAAGCTCCCTACTCCTCTCCCAGTACCTGCCCTATGCATCTCTTCTATGTCCTGAGTTGTATTCTTTATAACAAATCAGTAAACATAAATAAAGTGTTTCCCTGAGTTCTGTGAGCCATTCTAGCAAATTATTGAACTCAAGGAGCGGATCATACCCTCCTCTAGTTTGTAGCTGACTGGCCAGAAGTATAAGAGGTGGAAACTTGTGTTGGGCACAGTGGCCCATGCCTGTATTCCCAGAGGCTTGGGAGGCTGAGGCAGGAGTATCGCAAGTTCAGCAAAAGCGAGGTGTTAAGCAACTCTGTGAGACTCTGTCTCTAAATAAAATACAAAATAGGGCTGGGGATGTGTGTCAGTGGTGAGAGCCCCTGAGTTCAATTCCCAGCACCCCCCCCCAAAAAAAAAGAGGTGGAAACTTGTAATTAGCATCCTAACTGGGGGTGAGGGGTCTTATGGGATGAAGCCCTTTGACTTGTGGGATTGGTAGATAGTATCAGAACTGAATTAAATTGTAGGACACCAAAGTATCCAACAAAGAGTTGGAGAATTGGTTGGTGTTGGGGGAATCCCACATGAAGTGTTATGAACAACAAGATAAATTGTGTAGGGCTGGGGATATGGCTCAAGTGGTAGTGTGCTTGCCTAGCATGTGTGAAGCACTGGGTTCGATTCTCAGCACCATGTAAAAAAAAAAAAAGATATTGAACTAAAACTAAAAATGAATATTTAAAAAAAAAAAGATAAATAGTGTATTTTTCCTTTTTACTCTTAAAGCCACACAACTTGTTCCCTCACCTCTTTGAAATCTGCTTAAATATCACTTTCTCAGAGAAACCTTCACTGCTTACTCTATTCAAAACTGCACTCTACACATGGCATTTTTATCCTCCGTCCCTACTTTTCCTCCTTCACCTTTTTTTAAAATATTTATTTATTTATTTTTTAGTTTTTGGCGGACACAACATCTTTGTTTGTATGTGGTGCTGAGGATCGAACCCGGGCCGCACGCATGCCAGGCTAGCGTGCTACCGCTTGAGACACATCCCCAGCCCCTCCTCCTTCACCTTTAATATACTTTTTTATACTTATTGTTTTCCTTCCCCAATTTGACTGACTATGAGGACAAGAGTTTTCATTTGTTTGGTTCATCAGCCCTGGAAGCATGCATGGCATATAATAGGCAGGCACTCAATAAATGTTTGAATAAATGCATGAATAGAGAAGCAAATTGCCCCAAGCGGGCAGAGAGAGCACTGGGAGGGCAGGGGCTGAGTCTCTCTGAAGCTGCTACAAAGGGAACTCAAGAAGTCAAGAGTCCACCCCGGCATCCCCACCCCATCTCAGTCAGGAAGAGGCAGTGAGAAGTGAAAACTCAGCTATGAAGCAGAAGTAGCTGAGAAGACAGCAGAAGGAAAGGGGTCTACATCAGTACTGGGACAGGGTGGTGGGGCCCAGGGCAAGGACTTTGGACAAGGAGGACTCAGTGAGGGGGATGCTGTCTCCTCACTTTCCTGAAAGTGAAGTGAAGAGTAGAAAAGGGAGAAAGGCTATGCCTAGGGAGGGCATTTATTAGAAAGTACTCACACACTCTGCTGAATCCATGGTGACCAGCACCCTTAAAACACACACACACACATACACGGGGTGGGGTCGGGGGGTGTGCAAGCTGGTGCTTGTGATGTCAGCTTCTCTGCAGTTTGAGAACCACTTTCAGTTTCGCTGAGTATCTATTTAAATTCTTGAATTCCACTGGGTGCACACCTGTAATCTCTCAGTGGCTAGGAAGGCTGAGAAGCAGAAGGATCCCAGGTTCAAGGCCAGCCTTAGCAGCTTAGTGAGGCCCTGTCTGAAAAAATAAAAATAAAAAGGGCTGGGGATATGGCTCTGTGGTAGAGTCACCCTGAGCTCAATCCCCAGTACTACAAAGTTCTGAACTCTTCAAGTCCTGAACTCTTTACATTTTAACAAGGATTTCAAAGAAGACAAGATGAGGTGACATTGCACATCCTAAAGCAAATAAATTAAATCCTCCATTAGGCATTTCCATGTTTCCAAGTGCCCCTCTAGAACTGCCAGGAGTGAGGGTTCCCTCTATTGCTAGGCCCTGTATCTATCTCACCACCTTCCTGGATTGTCCATGGATTTCAGAGTCTTCTCCCATCCACAGTGCAGAAAAATTCAGCCAGCCCTCCCTTGGCTCCCTATCCTAACCCATGTGCCCAGACTAATGAAACCTAACAAAGTTCAAAACTTTATAGTTATCTGAATATCATGACTTATTCAAGGGAAATATTTGTTTATTCCTGATAATAAATGCCCTGGGATCTTACTGTCCTTCCCCCATATCTTCAATAGCTTATCAAAATATTTCTTTGCATAAGGGATATAACTCAGTGGTAGAGCATTTGACTAGCATGATCGAGGAGGACCTGAGTTGGATCCCCAGTAATGGAAAAAAAAAACTTAGAAACAAAAAAAGCACCCCCCAAAAAAATTATTTCAATACATCTGTAATCTAACATGCTCATGAGGCAGAAGTAATAGGATCACAAGTTTGAGGCCAGACTGGGCAACTTAGTGAGACAAATTTAAAAACTGTCTGAAATAAAATAAAAAGGTTTGGATGTAGCTCTGTGGTAGTGTACTTGCTTAGCAGGTATGAAACCCTGGGTTTAATCCCCAGCATACACAGGAGTGGAATTGAGCAAAGTAGAGTACCTGTAGTCCCATCTACTTAGGAAGCTAAAATAGGAAGATCACTTAAGCCCAAAAGAAGAAGAAGAAGAAGCCAGGAATGATGGCACGTATCTGTAATTCCACTACTCTGTAATCCTAGTTACTCAGGAGGCTAGGCAGGAGGATTGCAAATTTAAGGCCAGCCTCAGCAACTTGGCAAAACCTGTCTCAAAATTAAAAATAAAAAGGGCTATGGGCCAGGCATAGTAGTGAATGCCTGAAATCCCAGAGGCTCCAGAGGCTAGACAGGAGGATCACAAGACCAGCCTCAGCAATGGCAAGGCGCTAAGCAACTCAGTGAGACCCTGTCTCTAAATAAAATACAAAATAGGGCTGGGGGTGTGGCTCAGTCCCCAGTACCCACCTCCAAAAAAAAAAGGGCTATGGATGTAGATATCCCTGGGTTCAATCCCCACTGCCACACACATATACACACACACAAAAGGAGTTTATAGAATGTTCTTTTTTCATGTCCTTTTTATGCCTACTCCCCCTTCTTCCTGGGGTGCTGGTGTCAGCAGAAGTTGATGGGGAAGTGAGATCTAAGAGGTAGCAAAGAGGGGAATGAGGAGAAAGGGGAAGTTTGGGAGGGAGGCCTCAGGGGAGACTGGTGGGAGAGAAGAGCCGGCAGACTAACAGACAGAGCCAGTCTGGTTCTCTCTCCCTACTGCCACCTGCCACCTGCCACCTGCCACGGGCATCTGCTGAGCTATGAGCCAAACCAGGGATTTACAGGGTAGGGAGGTATAAAGGCTGGAGCTTGCAATGGGAACAAGGAGGTGGGCAGCCCTGGGCCAGGGAGCTAGGTTAGGGCAGGCGGAAGGAGGGGGGAGCTCCAGGACAGAATTGTGGGTGACCCTGGGCTGGGTGTGGGGGTGCGGAGAGTAAGGGAGGGGTGAGGGTTGATCAATCTTTGTACTCCTCAGGAGGTAAAGCTTTTGGACTACTGAAGACCCAGCAGGAAGAGAGACTGAATGAGATCAACAAGGTAAAAGGAAGACCTGAGGAGGCAGAGCCTGGGGGATGGAGCCCTGGGGTAGAGGGAGCCAATCCTGCTGTTACCTTTCCCCAACAGCAATTCCTGGAGGATCCCAAATACAGCACTGATGAGGATCTACCCTCCAAACTGGAAGCCTTCAAGAGTGAGGGGGAAACTGTTAGGGTGGAAAGGGGCCTGGTAGGCTTGGGGGTAGGATTTCTACAAGAACCCAGAGGGGACAATGAAAACGCAGAATTGACTTTGTTGTAGGAAAAGGAGAACCTACCTTGATTGTTCCCCTCCCACATTGGAGTCCCTTTCCCTGGCTTGCCCCTCTAATTCCCTCCACTTTAACAGGGCTTCTCAACCCTTCAACCCTACTTCCTCCGCCTGCCCCTCCTCCTTCTTCCACATCTTCTTTCTCAGCTGGTCAGCCACCTCTTTCTCAATCCCCTTCCCTGGACCCTACAACCAGGGCTTACCCTATCTGCTTTCTTCCCTCATTCAGAAAAATATATGGAGTTTGACCTGAACGGAAATGGAGATATTGGTAAGAAAAGGGTGATTTGGGGGAGTGTGCAGGCCTAGGCAGATGAAAAACTCTTCCACTTATTCTGTTCCCTGTGGCTTTGGGGGAGAGTCTACCTACCAGAGTAAGAGGACGGAGAATGAGAATTTGGAGGTGGGAAAGGAGGCAGAGAGAGAGGGGGATTCCCTTTCTTCTCCACATCCTGATCCTCTCCCTCCAGATATCATGTCCTTGAAGCAAATGCTAGAGAAACTTGGGATCCCCAAGACCCACCTAGAGCTTAAGAAATTAATTAGAGAGGTGTCAAGTGGCTCTGGGGAGACATTCAGCTATCCTGACTTTCTCAGAATGATGCTGGGCAAGAGATCTGCCATCTTAAAAATGTAAGAGTCCATTTCCAACTTCCCCTATATTTACCATTTTCTTGTCCACCCCCAGCCCTACTCTTATCCCCAGCCTCAACTGCTATACATTACTCAGCATCCACTTTTCCATTGTGACAGGGACTCTTCCAAGGTCCTCTTCCCATCCCTATTCCTCTGCATAGCTCCTAGCACTGCCACCTCTGCTCTCATTCTTCCTCCTCCCACCCTCACAACCCCGTCCCCTTGAGACACTCACAGCAGCCTAAGATTTGTTCCCTTGAAAAAAGTGTTCCTTGATACCTGTGTCTCTTCCAGGATCTTAATGTATGAGGAGAAAGCAAGAGAACAGGAAAAGCCAACGGGTCCCCCAGCCAAGAAGGCTATCTCTGAATTGCCCTAATTTGTGTGTATGTGTGTGTGTGTGTGTTATGTGTGTGTACACACATGTGCATGTCCACAGCGAGATTGAAGGGGCTTCTAATGATCCCAACATGAAAAAACAAAACAAAACAAAAAACCAAAATTGTGAGCCAGTCAAACGAAATAAATTATCCTTCCCTTCCAGATCAAGTCTGTATGGTTTTTATTTTGGGGATTTTTCTCCCCCTGGGCTTGGGAAAGAGAGATGATATATCTTCCAGGGAAAGACAGCAAGGACTTGTTCAAATAAACAATCTATCAACAATTCTGTAGCTATGTGTGGTGGCACACACCTTCAAGCCCAGCTATTTGAGAGGCAGGGGCAGGAGGATAGCAAATTCATGACCACTCTAGGCAAAAATAAAAAGTCCTGGCATAGTGGAACACACCTGTAGTCAATTCAGGAGGCTAAGGCAGGAAGATTACAAGTTCAAGGCCAGCCTCAGCAACTTAGTGAGACCCTCAGCAACTTAATGAGATCCTGTCTCAAAATAAAAAATTAAAAGTACTGGAGATGTAGGTTGGTGATAAAGTGTCCCTGGATTTAATCCCAAGTACCAAAACCAAAATAAAAAGGGCTGGGAATATAGCTCAGTGACAGAGTACTCCAGGTTCAATCTTCAGTACTGCAAAAAATAAAAATAAATAAAAAATTGTAGTATCTACTACAACAGATGGCTCTGTGCACCAAGGGGGAATTCCAGATGTATAAGACAGTTGTGACCTGAAGAAATTTAGGTAGGCTATTTTTAAAAATCTGTTTATTTGGTACAAGTCCATGGTAACTTTCACAAAAGAATGAGGATTACTTTGAACTAACGTTCTCCACTACTATAGTTTTCTGACCTTGACAAATCTCTCAGCCTCTCTGAGGTTTTTATCTGAAAATGGGGATAATATATCTTGCCTGGCATATCACAAGCCCTTAATGTTTAAAACTTGAATGAATGAATGAATGAAAGAACTGATGTCATTAAATGAAGTAAAGGATTTACAATACTATAAGTTCTGATAACTTAAGAGTTAAATGAGTCATTGAGATCCTCCTATTGGGGAAAAGCTATAGAAACCCAGTTTATCATTGTGAGCATGTCTGAATATGTAACAACAAATCCCGCTACTATATACAACTATAATGCACCAATAAAAATATGGAAAGAAAGAAAAGGGGGCAGATAATGGAGACACAGGATCTCTTGAGTTGAAGAAAGGGGTGAACAGTCAAATCCAGGGAAGGTAGGAGCCTAAGAGCTTCATAGTATTTGATGAGGCCAGACCTTTCCTCCTCCAAGGTATCCAGATGAGTCAACTCTAACAACCCTCACTCTTTGGACAGTATTTCAGATATCTTTCTCACCCCCGCCCCACCCCAGCCTTTTTTTTTTTTTTTTTTTTTGGCGCACAGTTGGTTGGCCAGTGAAGGGGTTCGTCAAGCCCAGGGCTTCCTGCATGCTGGACAAGCACTGTAACACTGAGCTACATTCCTAACCTCATGTTTCTTAAGTCCCTTGATAATGAGAATCTGATTATCCCAGTTTAATTCACATACTGAGCATGTACTGGACCACTAAGCCTTTCATAGTGGCTCTTCCCAGTGGGGAAGCCAGGAAGGCATCCAGGTAGGTAATTCCTATAGAGCTGCAGTGACTGTATACGACTTCAGATGATATAGAGATCATTGCTTCATGACCAAAACTTAATCATTGAATAAGTTAATACGTATCTAACTGTAATGAAATTCATAGCTAACCTTTATTGAGCACCTACTATGTACAGGATACTATTCTAAATACTTTCCATGTATGAATTCATTTAATTTTCACAACAACCCTGGTAACATCAAGAGGGACAGAAAGGACCTGGGGCTTAAATAATTCATTCATTCAGGATAAATAGCGTTATACTCATACCATGTACTATTACCACCCAGCAATAAGAATTAAGAAGCTACAACTGCACACAACAACATGAATGAATATTATATATACAGTGTTGAGCAAGAGGAATCCTTACTGTATAGTTTGTATAAAATATAAGAAAGGTAAAATTCAGGTATATTATATGTAGTTGGGATAGTAATTAGCCTTGGGAGAGGGTACTAACAAGCAGAAGTTCCAGGGCAGCTTCTGAGATGGGGTGCTAGTTAAGATTCTGTTTTTGTGATCACATGTTCTGCTTAGTTTGTGAAAATTCATACATATTTATTACATACATATATATTGTGCTGTGATTAAAAAATGTTAAATCCTTTATTTTATAGGCATCAACTACAGGCTAGTCTCTTTTTATAAGTTCTTGAGATGTAAAAGTGAACAAAACAAACATCTCTCTCTTTCATTCTATTTTGGGAATTGGTAGAGGAGGAGAAAGACTGTCAACAAACAAAATTTAAAATTTATATGGGGTCTGGGGATTCAATTTAGAGGTAGAGTGCTTACCTAGCAAACCTGAGGGCCAGGATGGGATCTCCAGCTCCAAAAATAACAACAAATAAAACTTATATATTAGGAAATGATAAGTAGTATGAATTGGGCATGGTGGTGCACACCTGTAATCCCAGCAACTTGGGAGGCTGAGGCAGGAGGATACCAAGTTCAAGGCCAGCGTCAGCAATTTAGCAAGGCTCTAAGCAACTTACTAAGATCCTGTCTCATGGTCTGGGGCTGTAGCTCATGCCTCACATGTGTGAGGTACTAGGTTCGATCCTCAGCACCACATATAAATAAATAAATAAATAAATAAAAGATATTGTGTCCATATACAACTAAAAAAAAATCCTGTCTTAAAATAAAAAATATAAAGGACTGGGGATGTGGCTCAGTTGGTTAAGTGCCCTAAGTTCAATCCCCAGTATCACAAAAGTGAGGAATGAGGGGGTACCAGGATTTAGGGGTGGGGGCAGAGGAGATTAAAATTTGAAACAGTTAATAAGGATAGGCCTTACTGTTTAGGTGATTAACTTTGAGCAAAAACTTCAAGGAGGGTAAAGCGTGAGCCACAAGGGCTTCTGGGGGAAGAGCCAACTACAGAGGAAAAGGGCATCAGAAAGGCTCCAAAGTAAGACATCTCTTACAGCAGGTAGAGAAAGCAATAAAATCAGAGACTGTATGTGATCGACCCACTGAGGAATGGTAGGTCACACTAAAGAGTTTGGCTTTTATTCTGAGACAAATTGGAACATTACAGGACATTGATCAGATGAGTCCCTTGAGGCCTCCTGGGAGAAAAGACCCATTCTGGCTACTGTGTAGAGAGGAGTCTGTAGGAGCAGGAGAGACTCAAGGAGACCAACTGAGAGGCTGTTGCTATATCCCCACTGAGAGATGATGGTGGCTTAGATCAAGGTGGAAGCAGTGGAAGTGATGAGGTTGGATATCTTCTCAAGATAAAATTTCCTATTTGATTGCAAGTGAGAAGTGAGATTAAGAAAGGAGCAGGCCGTTGAGGCGTAAGCCTGTAATCCCAGTGGCATGGAAGGCTAAGGCAGGAGGATCACAAGTTCAAAGCCAGTCTCAGTCTCCGAGAGGCATTAAGCAACTCAGTGAAACCCTGTCTGTAAATAAAATACAAAATTGGGCTGGGGATGTAGATCAGAGGTTGAGCACCCCTGAGAGGGAGGGAGGGAGGGAGGGAGGAAGGAAGGAAAGAAGGAAGGAAGGAAGGGTCAATGAGGATTCTGAGGTTTTGGACTTCACCGGATTTTTGAAATTGCCATCAGCTTCAGCTGATGGGGAAGGCTATGAATACAGCAAGTTTTGAGAAGCTGGAGATCAAATGTCTATCTTTGGATACACTTAATTTGAAATGGTCTATTAGATATCCGAGAGACATCAAACCTAAATACAAGTCTGGAGTTGGGGGGAGAGATCCATGATGAAACTATATGTTTGGAAGTCATCAATGCATAAATGCTATCTGAAACCAAGAGACTCGATGTCCTTGACAACCCATTTTGGTTAGTAGAGGGTCAGGGTGAAGGCTTCACTGGAGTGAGTTTAAGTGAGATTGGGGACTAGAGGTAGAGCTCAGTGGTAGAGCATGTGCTTAGTATTTGTAAGGCCCTGGGTTGGATGAAAGTTACCTTGGAAGTATAGAAATTAGAGAAAGTAATAATAGACACCTTTAAGAAAATATTGTACCGTTAAAGAAAAAAAAAGAAAAATAAAAATTTTTTGCTGTGGCAAAGGGGAGCAAAAAAATGGTGTGGTAGTTAACTATATATAGAGAGAGAGGATAAGAGAATAATTTTTGAAAGTTTGGAAACTGAACCTTACAAATACAAATATGTATTTGTATTTGATGCCAGGTCCTCACACATGCTACACCCTTAAAGGCTAAAATTCTTCTTCTTTTTTTTGGTACTGGGGATTGAACTCAGAGTGCTTTACCACTGGGCTACATCCCCTGTACTTTTTCTTTTTTAGTTTTAGACAGGATTTCTCTAAATTGCTAAGGGCCTTGCTAAATTGCTGAGACTGGCCTTGAACTTGCTATTCTCCTACCTCAGCCTCCCAAGTTGCTGAAATTACAGGCATGTGTCACCATACCTGCTGCAAAGGCTAATATTCTTAACTGACTCCTGACAAATTTTCTGCCTTCACTGTCCAAAAAATGGACAAATAGTCATTTTTATCATTGCCAGCTAGGTGCAGGTCCCCAAACACACGCTTTCACTGATCTGTTCACTGAACCTTATTTTGCACCCTCTCAAAACTTGGCTAAACTATAATTAGCTCTTCTTTTTCATTCTTTCGGTACAGGGGACTGAATCCAGTGGTGTTCTACCCTTGAGCTACATACTTAGTCCTTTTTATTTTGAGACAGTCTTGCTACATTACCCTGGCTGAACTTGGATTTGCGATCCTCCTGATTCAGCCTCCGGAGTTGCTAGGATTACAGGTGAGCACCACTGAGCCCGACTTCATATTTCTTAATGTTTTTTTCTAGAAGCACTTCTAAACTTCCCCAGGCAGACACATTTTATTTTTACTTCTATAATATTCTGTGCATATATTCAGAGTTTCAAAATATCGTTGTTGAATGATTTGTTGAACTAGCAGGTCTAAATGGAGCCGAGGATTCTACAGTCAAGAACTGAAGACAAAGGGAGAAAACAGTCCTGCAGTTTGTAAAATGAAACCCTCTG